TCTGATTCTGCTTTTGCTTCTTTCTCCATGGAGTAGTTCTCCCATTCATCTGGGTGTGGGAAACCCTAGATCTGTATGTTAGGATTGATTGTATGAACCCAAGTACTGTTTCTATGATTTGATTATATTCGATTGAGGTTTGAATGATTGAATGGCATGAATCCTGATCAAATTCCTGTTGTTTCTGCTTTAACCTAGAATGAGAATATCTGCCTAGGTTAATAGAGTATCCTTAATTGAAGGTAGCGAATTGGTGACTTTAGTCGAGGAGCCAATTCGCTATTCTGTACCGAATTCCATTCGGTAGTGGAGGGTTGGTTCGTTAGGGCCTCAATCTGTTTACTCCGGTGGAGGTTAGTCGCCCGCTAGAGACTCAGATTGAGAGGGTCTGAAGACCTTTAGTCGAGACTTCAGACTGCTTGAGAACCTTCCGCAGTATAACTATCATAGAAATTGAACTTGGTAATTACAATCCGGCTTAACTGCAGTCTAGGAGGAACCATATCCGGGTGACCTCTCTTAACCTGAAAACAACCGTTTAGTTGCTTTGCTTGCTTGTTAGTTCAGACCTTCACTAAAGTTTCATTGCTAGATAATACGAATTCACTGAGTAGTCATCACATCTAGGACCCGGGTTGACATAAAACCCAAACCCGCTATACTACGCTTTAGGAAGTGGTTTCACTTGGCCATTTTCTAGAGTGACAGTAGGAGTGAGTCATTGCCATAATCTTTCGCCTTTCTGCTGAAGACATGCTTGACAGCTGATTTGGGTCCAATTGTACACATTTTACCCCTTATTTCTTTATAGTTTGACTTTGCATTTCATCGCCACTCGACCTATTTTATGCTAGATTGTGCTATTTTTTATACATTTCAGGTCCTAGCACGTGTGGAAGGATCGAAGACGAGTTTCAGGACGATTGGAGGCCGAAAAGCGCCATAAAGTGAAGAAAAGTCCAAAGACCGTGACAATTGCCCCGAGGGGGTGAAGTGCCAGGAGTCCAGAAGGTTTTGTCCATCTCGCGGGCATAACCCGGCCATGATAATCCGCTCCAGACCATGAAGAGCTGCAGTGAAACGACGCGGGTTTGTCCAAGTTCACGGTTCAGGCTTTTAGTTCAAGGTCGTGAATTGAGATCGTGAATAGACGTCAATTTGGGTATAAAAGGGGAAGTGAGCTGAATGAGAAAGGGGGTAGGATCTTGGGGGCTGGTTTCACATTTTTGGGTTCCCTTCGAGGATTCCAGCTGAAGAAACCCCAAGGGATAAACCCTAGTTAGAGAAAGGTCTTCTTCTTCACAATCTAGAGAGAGAAAGTAATCAACATGGAGAGAAGAAGAAGATTGGGCCTACTTCAAGCTAGAGAAGTGAAGATTCTTACCTCTCAAGCGAGTTCTCATCAACAAGGAGGGAAGACAAACATCCACCATGGTTCTTCTCTCTTTTTTGTTGAATTCCTTTACCTAGCTATGGAGCAGAGCTCCTTTTTCGCTAGGGTATTGTGAATTCTAGTCTAGATGTGTGTTAGGATGTAAGAACATGATTCTATTGTGTTTATTGAATGTTTTATATAATATTTGAGGTATTATTCATGAATGATTGAGTGTGCTTGCTTTAACTCATTATTGGGTCATTTTGACCTAGGTGGAGAGAATCCTCTTGTTTTAAGAGGCTTTGAGAAGCTGGATTCTTGGCCAATTTGTGTCCCCCACCTAGGAAAATTAAGGAAAACCTCAAATTAGTGCCATGATGTCATCATGATTGGTCGCTATCCACCGTTCGAATTAATTTCCAAGGAATTGGTGCTTGCAACCCTTGGTCGATTGGTTAAGAGGGCTAGATCCCCTAGCTTATAGTTGCAATCCTTAGTCAAATGGCTAAGAGAGTTGGGCCACCCAGCTTATTGTTGCTATCCTTAATCGATCGACTGAGAGAGTTAGGATTTCCTAGCTTGTTGCATCCGCCTCGTGGTTTATAAATACATCCTTCACACTAGAGTTTCATTCAAGGTTTCTTTTTTTTTTATATAAAGGTGATAATGCATTGAAAGGAAAAGAAACCAGAACACATGACTCAGTTCAAATACAGACCAAAAGAAAACAAAAATCCACTGGGAGCACAAGCAGTGCATCCCAATGACAAAACATAGCCGAAAACAAAAAGAGAAGAAAGGCACAAGGTTGCAAAGCAAACCGAGAATGCCCATCCACCAGAAATCACAACAAAAACCCAAACGAGATTCCCCTGACAAACCAATCAACAATCCCAAAACAAACACAAGGAAACAACAACACATACTCAAACACTCTGCCCAACGTTGGTCATCTGCTACCCTGCCCCTCCAACCAGACACTCAACATCCATCAACGCCACCCTCAGAGGAGGAGGGCACCTGAACTCAAGCCCATCTTGAACGAGAAAACCTCGTCAAAAGGGATGCCCTTTGACTCCCAGCCCCCAACAGAACAGCTTCCAGCCAGTAAACAAAATCCCAGCACCTCCATTAGAGACCATATTGCCCAAACGCCAGATGACCTTCAGCCCCCATCCGCTCCTGACTCCCTCAAATCCCGAACAAGGTAACCCTGATCCATCAAGAAACTTGCTCCACATCCTACAGGCCAAAAGCAGATAACCACTCCCTCGCAAGGTGTTGAAAAACCACAACTGAACACATCCCATGACACCCACATTCTCACGGAATACGAACATAGCCTTCACAGGCCCATTACCCGCGACCAAACACCTCCCTTCCTTCCCTCGACGAAAATCTAATCACCCGATCACAACCTCCCTCAGCCAGCTCTCCCCCTGGTTCTTCTCAATCTTGCCCTGCGCCACTAATCCCGAATAATAATTAACGACAAATAAACCCCAAAATAATAAGTTCCTGACAAGGAAACTATAAATACTCTATGTAATGGATTCGATTCCATGATATTAGCTCAAACTAGAATCAGAACACAACAACACTTTTAGCCATACCATACATATGATTTCCACTTACCCAATCCTCGTTCATAGCTGTTGAACAAACAAAAGAACAAAACCCACAAGGATAAGAAGTACACTAAAACAACCTACACTAAAATATAGCTTCAACCATACCTCTTGATTTTACGGTGGTTTTTTTTTTTTTCATTTCCACCCAAGTTAAACACACCCCTTGAGTATACTCATGGATCAATCATGTCAATCCCAGTACTTGACACAAAAGAGCCATGAGAAACTCCTCCTACCTAAACCCCCAAATCATCATATCGAACGAGTTTGTACTAAAGTAAGTACATAGACTCCTAAGTTACTATAAATCATTCTTGCGATCATAGACACTGTCCGTAATTCATTATATTTCCATATCTAAAGATTCAATCGAAACACAGCTGTGGGTGGAGATATTTGAATAGTTAAACAAAGAGCTATCAAGGATCCCGACCAATTACTAGAATAATGGGTTCATCAATCAACAAATAGGGCAACAACAGATATGCTCTAGAAGGCTACGGGTAGGGAAAAAACCATTTTTCTCACCAGTAATGATCATTTACAGAAAAACTAAACAATCAATCAAATCCTTTTATCTTTGTCATAAACCAGTTGGTCCCAATAACTCGAGTTGTTGGGAGAAGGTTATGCTGGATCTTATACAGGCCCGTGTATGGTACTTAACCACTTCATTACACGCCCCCTCAAACGAAAGCCGACTCATGGGCTTGAAGTTTGCACAGGCCCGCCATACCATGTGCTTGAAAGACAACGATTAATATTGGGGGTCGTGAGGATTTGAACACGTGACCTCAAGGACAACCAGCTCTGATACCATGTCATAAACCAGTTGGTCCCAATAACTCGAGTTGTTGGGAGAAGGTTATGCTGGATCTTATACAGGCCCGTGTATGGTACTTAACCACTTCCTTACAATCTTCATGGAAGTGGAAAAAGCGATGGATTAGTGGGTTTGCAAAGCTAAATGGTTTCTATATGTTAGGTTAGCAATAGCGTAGCAAATCTCTGGTTAAAGACACATTCAAAACAATCAATCACTTTTTGTTTCCGCCAGGAGTTGGAAACACATCGTTCTAATGACCCTAGAAATTGCACCAAAATTCCAGCAGCAAGAGAAGGTAACGAACCTGAATCTTCTTGCAGAAGTCGTGCATGTTGAAGAAGGTAAGATCAACCGATCACCTTCACTCACCTTCACTTCCACCGCCGCCAATACCAGCCGCTCGCCAGCAAGATCAGCCGCATACCCTCCTCTTGTCGGGAAATAAAAGGAGTTCTATCGCGAAGGCAGGTTGGGCGGAGCCATCACTCATTTGTTTCGAAGAATGAGGGAGGTCTGTGAAAATGTAGTGAAAGGTAAAATTGGATTAACGAAAAATAAGCAAGGACACCCTGGGCATAAACAATAAAATTGGACGGATTTTAAAATACCTAGGGGGCCGGTTATTTCTAATTTCGAGCTGGGCTGGATTTCAAAAACCGGCATGGACCAAATCCTGCATAATTGGACACCAACCCAAACAACATAATCTCTTAAAATCCTGGACAGGCCAGGATTTGGGACAAATCCCTGTCCAGATTTTTGGATCCAACGGACCCAAGATAGTTTCTTTCGAAGTAGTCCAGTGTGTTATAATCTTAGGTTTGATGAAGAATCATTATGGTTTCGTAAATTCATCTTGCATGCCCAGTGATGCTTTTAAATTTTTTGAATATTACATATGAGATGTGCTTTGTATAAATCAAGCAAAAAAGCACCAATTCAATATATTATTTTTAGAAGATATTAAACACACTAACACAAGTAGACATGCCATAGCCCAAACATTTCCCCGTTGTGTAGACATGGGTGTTGGTAGATTTTCTGATGTGCATATTGATTTAGTACTTCACCAATTAATTGTTAGGTTAGATAGTAACAAAACTTTGAAGTAGCATAGTAGATTTAGTAGCCAATGAGAATACAACCTTGACGGTCATAGCTATGCTACCACCTAATTAAGGTATACTTCATTTGATTACGTGTAGTAGAGTAGTAAGACCTCAAGTTTATAACTTGATCTCTACACCTTGTTCGTGACTCAGCCAGATCAATAACCCTTGTTTTCATGTACTGTTTATATCCTCTTTCTTGATTTTAAGCTCTAATATTTATCCAACATCCACCTGTTCATATATATAAAAGAAGACGTAGATACTTTCACCTTTAGAAAGGAAAATATGAAATTATACTTCAACACAAACCAGAAAAAGATACAAAAGTGAAAAAGAAAAAAAAAAAGGTGACATAGGAAGGCAATAAAAGGGATAATTAAAACACAAGATTGAGGATGTCCATGCTCAAACTTTCCATCATCTCATTCTCCATAAACAACACCCCACACTTGGCCGGCGCCGCTGATTTTCTGAAACTTGCGGTAGTCTCGTAGGGCTTGAATGAAGAAGAGAGGGGCAGAACGGGAATTTTGTCACAGTTGCAGATTTCTACCATATAACCATCTGGGTCGTGGAAGAACACTTGATCCACTTTTATCCCTTCTTCTTCCACCACAGCTGTCACGTACCTCATCCCCATCTCCTCCAATCTCCTCTTCACCAGCACAACATCCGCAGACTGTCACGTTACCGAGTTATTAGAACAAACTGATTTTATTACGGTAATGCTAAAAAGTTACGCTGTTACAAAATACTCTTGGCTCACACTCACTTGAAAAGAAATGTGGTTGTCTTTGGGGTTGATTGGTCGCGGTTCCACGATGGGCTCAAACTCATCGAGCGATGGGTTCTCGATCAAATGTATTCCTATTCCATAATTGTATAACCTTGATCCATCACCATAAAAGAGACAGGTTACATAAATAAATATGGTTTCCAAAAAGGTCAGGAATAGATGCTAGAAATTAAGTGAAAAGTAACCATACCATGCTCCGGTGAAGTTGAAAGAAGAAGGGCGCTTAATTAGGACAAAGCCCAAAACCTCCTCGTAAAACCTGGCGGAATCCAACACCGATCGGCAAAGCAGGGACACATGATTGAGTGAAAGCAGAGGCAGTGCCTCGCCGCAGCTGCTCACTTCCTCAATCTCCATTTCCCTGATAACTACCGAGACGAGTTAGATTGAGCTGACTGGCCGGTGAAAAGATTGCGGTTTTATAACCGGGATATTCTATGAAATGTGATCTTCACTTTCGTTCATACCCAAGCTTGTCACCGTACTTGCGAATAAGAGGAACCTTCCCGGGCAGCTCAATTTCTCTCTTAAGAGAGAGGCAGAGGAACTTTCCAGGTAGATTCACTCTAACCGATAACCAGACCATACCCAATGCAGTAATCATCATTACTCATTAGTATTTTCCTCTTGATCCACTCCATCACATCACGGAGAAAGCCACCAAGCTCTCAGTCAATATAATTAGGGGTGATAAATGGTTAGTCGGTTATCGGTTAAAACCGATAACCGAACCGATAAAGTCGGTTAGTGGTTAACCGATAACCGCTACTTCCTTATTGATTTCGGTTAGTAGTATTTTGGTTAGTGGTTAACCGCTAACCGATTAAGCGGTTAGCGGTTAACCGATAACCGACTACTAGTGTAACTACATGGTTTTTTACTTTGGCTAAGGGAAAAAGTTGTAAGATTCAAAACGGCTAAATTACACGTTTAGTCACTCAAATTATACAAATCTTTCACGTTTGCCACCCGAATTACTTTTCTTTCTTATTCGCCACTAACTTCACGGTTGGTCACCGGCCGTTACACTCCGTTAAGTTTGTCCTACGTGGCAGTCAACTATAAAGTTTGACCGTTAACTAGATGACGTGGAAATTAAAAAAATAAAAAAAAAATATTTCCACCTCATCATTGCACTTATTTTATCTATATAATTTATCATATTAATAATTTAATAAAATTTAATAAATTACAAAAATTGACAAATCCAAATGCATCCTCACCCTCACCATCCACTCCCTCTCCTCCTCCTCCGTAGACGTCGACAACAGCGTCCCTGCCGCCGCCAGCAAGAGGAGGGGAACTACTACGCCTTCAAGCGCGGGCGGCCGCTGTTCAATTGGGCCGATCACCCTTCCTCAATCACCGACGCCGTGGAGAACGGATGGACCCGATTCGGCTTCGTCGCCGCACAACCGACGACTGTTTCCGGCTCCGTCAGAAACTCGATGTTCCTATGGTTGAAGAGAAGAAAGGTTCTGATTTCTACAGCACTATTTTACCTGCAACGGTTACTAGTGACCATCTTTTGGAAGCTATGGTATCTAGGGCCCACTCTAGCACGAAGCAGAACTCGGATGACAGCAATTCAAGTAGAACGACTGTGACCAAGGCAAGCAGTCCTTCTATTCCTAGTGCGCATCATACGTATGGCCTGGTTAGCGTGCCTGACCCGGTGAAAAGGGAAACTTTTGACCTTCCAGGAAGAGGTAGAACAACAACGGATGACGTGGGAAGTTGTTCTCAGACGACTTCATTTTATGGATCTCAGCTGAGTTCACTTGGTAGCCATAATGGGAGGTGGGACAATAGTATATCAACATCTGGATTTCCCAAGAAGAATGAAGAATCAAGCAACAAACCTAACCGTAAGCGGCTGAAGCCTGGAGAAAATCCTAGGCCTAGGCCCAAGGATCGCCAAATGATCCAAGATCGCGTGAAGGAGTTGCGCGACATTGTACCAAATGGAGGCAAGGTAATTAGTTTCCTTGTTATTATTATCCTTATGTACTTTTTATTTATTTATTTATTTCCTAACGTTGAAGGTTGACACTTTTCTTTGGATGATAATGTGATTTGTTAACAGTGTAGTATTGATGCTCTTCTTGAACGCACCATTAAGCATATGCTTTCCCTGCAAAGTGTTACCAAGCATGCCGACAAGCTCAAGCATACTGCGGAGTCAAAGGTAATTTGTTGCTTGTAAGGCAATTAACTTGGAATGTATGCCTGACAATTAGGCGGAAGTTAATTTGTTATGTTGTTGATTCAAACAAGCAGTTTATTAGAAAAGACGGCGGAGTACTCTTGAAGGATAATTTTGAGGGAGGGGCAACAATTTCGTACTCCCGCGGCGGTGGCGGGGGAGGGGAGGAGCAGAGTCAGAGGAGCCGGTCGTCGGCGGCGGCGGGGAAGGGGGATGGTGGCGGGGAAGGGGAGAAGATTAAATTGATTCGGGAAATTTCGATTCGAATTCGGCGGCTTTGCTCCACGTCAGCAGCAACGAGAGGATTAATAGGATTGAGGAGCTGAGGGTTTCCTCCGGTGGGAAGGATGAGAACAGGGGCGATGGTGTTGCGGTGGCGGTGGAAAGGATGAGAACAGAGGCACGTGCTTGGATTTGCCCATTATTTATTAAATTTTATTAAATTATTAATATGATAAATTATATAAACAAAATAAGTGCAATGATGAGGTGGAAAGAAAATTTTTTTTTTTTAATTTCCACGTCACCTAGTTAACGGTCAAACTTTATAGTTGACTGCCACGTAGGACAAACTTAACGGAGTGTAACGGCCGGTGACCAACCGTGAAATGATTCGTAAAGTTAGTGGCGAATAAGAAAGAAAAGTAATTCGGGTGGCAAACGTGAAAGATTTGTATAATTTGAGTGACCAAACGTGTAATTTAGCCGATTCAAAACCAATCAAAGTTGCAATTCCAAACATCCCAATTCTCACCTATTGCAAACAACCCTCCATCAAGAGTCTCAAATGTTTTTAAGAGTTAGAACTCGAAAGTCACCCCTCCCTAAATCCCCTTTGCACTCGATAGAGTGAACCTTAGGTTGATGACTATGGGCTAGATGAATTGGAGCGAGATCCTCGGATCATTTAGGTTGATGATTTGGAGATAATGAACTTGTTATTTGTGTCTTGTTGTGATTGTGACTTGTGGTTGAATTGTAGGCATGTAGACTTTATGTTGTGGAGTTGTGGTTGAATTGTGTGGTTGCTTTAGGCTTTATGTTCAATTGATTTAGATGACTTTATGGTGTGTGATTATAGAGGCTGAAACAAAAGCAGGTCACTCAAAATTGAGGGTGAATCATTAAAAAAGGTGGTTGAAATTCGGTTTTGGGTGGTCGGTTTTTGAACGAAAATCGACAAAGTGAACCAGAACCTGCGGTTTCGGTTAACCGCAAGGGAAAACCGAAACCGATGTTTGCGGTTTTCGGTTAACCGAAGTCTCTGTCGGTTTCGGTTAGTGATCTTGGGACAATTTTGGTTGCGGTTAACCGATATTTCGGTGCGGTTAAACCGAAACCGCACCGACTAACACCCCTAAATATAATAATATAACCGAAAAACAATACCCCATTTGATGGCAAAACTTACATGTATATAATAGTCTCTCAGTCGGCCAACCCTAACTCTACTACTATAATATATTAGAGTTGGGCCCGCCCGTTGGCCGGATGGATTAGATTAAGAGTATAAACATTAACAGTAATTTTGCGAATAATTTATTTGGTAAATGAAAGAACTTAATCATTCAATAACTAAAGCAGAGTGGTTTTTTAACCTGAAAGAGAGTTGCTCGGAGGAGATTATTAAAAGGATCGTTTGTTGCCTTTGGAATATCTGGATTGCTCGAAATGGTCTTATCTTTGAGCAGAGGGCTATTTCCCCGCCCCACTACGGCTACCTTGGCTGATCGTGATTTCTTAAGCTTGGTCGAAGTCAGAAGTTGCTCCCGCGCTTCATCTTCTTACCGGTCAGCGTTGGAGCCTCCTCAACCTAGGGGATCCCGTTCACACCCCTCACCACCGCCTGACACAATCTTGAAGTTTGTGCACTGTGATGGCTCTTTTGTTTCTGTTTCACAGGTGGCGGCTTATGGGATGATTACTATTGCTAATTCTCATGGTCAGGTGTATGACGGCAAGGTTGAGAGATTTCTTTGTTCCAGTCCGATACAGGCGGAAGCTTATGCTTTGTTGAATGCAGTGATTCTGGCGGCTCAGGATCCTTGCCCTACATCTATCAAATCTGATTGTCAGGTTCTGGTAAATGCATTGAGGCAGAATCCTGACTTGTGGCCATGGCAATGTCGGGCTATCTTAGCTCGTATCATCCCCTTCCTCCTTTCGGCTCCATGGGTGAGGGTGGAGTTTGTTCCCCCAACGTCTCAACTCGCTTGCCGATTGGGTTGCACATAATGCTAGCCTTGACCTTCTTCCGAGAGATTGGGTTGTAATTGCTGATCTTGTTTCTCCACTGCTGTAACAAACTATGTTTCCCCTTGTTCGAATTGGAAATAAAGATGCCAGATGTTGTAAAAAAAAAACTAAACATATAAAAAAATATACAATATAACTTATAAGTGTTACCACATCTAGATCATTCACGTACAAAAGTTCTTATCAAAAGTAAACAACACAACTCATGGAGGTAACTCATTCTTAAAAAACTTAATATTCAAAATGTATTTCAATTTATTCTTTGTTGCTAGATGTTACTGCAATTTTCCTTTTGGATTTCTTTTTGATTTTCCCGCCATAAAAAAACATCTTCTCCACACATCATCTTGATTAATGAAACTTCATATTCACCATTAATATTCTCTTTGCTTCCTTTTCTCATGCATTTCATTGAAAATCATTTTAATTGTAAACTGTTAGAAAATGTGAAACATCTTTTCACGATGCTAGAATTTCACCTCATATAAATCAAATATTTCAACCATTCGCTCTTTCCTGCTATCACATATATTTCTATATCAACCATCAATAATATCTTTCTTTATCTCAATAACATCCTTATCTCCATCTCTAAATTCACTACCTCTGATATTAGCATGTTCTTCTTTCTTCTACATTTCATTGATTGATAGAACTCTATTTCTAGGGTTCTATCGATTGCGAGGGGTGATTGGGAATTTAGGAATTTGGGAATAGAATTGGGGAAGAACAGAATTGGGAATTAGAAGATAGGAATAGGGATTGAGATTGGGAACTAGAGGAAGAAGAAGAAAGAAGATAGATTCGGCCGAAGCCTTAGAGGGCTAGAGAACGAGAAATTAGGAGATAGGGGATTAGGGTTTTGGGAGAGATACTTTATGAATAATTGTTCTTGCCAACATGATAATGAAAGCCAGATTACATATTTATAGGAAAGATAGGAAAACCTAATAATAAACCTAATTCTACTAAAAGTCTACTAACCTTATTTATCAATACCTTAATAATAATAATAATAATAATACTAATAATAATAGAACCCCTAAGGAATAGGTGATGCAAAACTTTAATGGCAATTTTTTTGAATTATGAAAATTCCATTTTCAATAACTTAAATTTACTCTCTAGATGTCATGAACTTTGCGCGAGATTGCACTTCTTCATTCTTCATTATCTTCAAAACTGTGTACACACTTATGGGGTTTGCGATGTTGTAACTTATGAGCTTCATACGAAAATGTTCTCTCATTTTGTCACTATCTTTGAGTAGTTTCTCAAAAATCATTCCAAAAAGTATGGCTCCCTCGTGATACAAAGTTCGATTGAACAAATATTGTCCATAGCTCACAGCTAATCCTGAATCTATAAAATAATAACAATTAAGATATATTATTCTCTTGAAAACTTTATATTTTAGTGGGTACGTTCTTTTCTCTCTAATGAATGAACTTGAAGTTGAAAACAATTAAAGAGTAGAGGTAGATCATTTACCTAACTACTATTGTCCATGGTGTTGTATAATTCTTATAAAAAATTTCGTCGTAGTCTTCTTTAACTTTTCTTTGGCAAGTTACAATTAATATGGTTTTCCTAACCTATTTAGAATCAATGGATACGAATGAGATATAGTCCGCTAATTTGCAAGAAATTGTAAGTCTCTTAATAATAGCTCTTGAGATTTGAGTCAGCCTTAACTAAAGGAGGTTATGCACCAAAATTTCAGCCCTTTTACTTGATTGTTTGAAGATCATACTAAAACACTATTTTGTCAATAAGATGATTCTCCAAGATGAATATATTTTTAATACGTAGAATCAATAAATATAGTACTTAATAATTATATGAATTGACTTAAAAACTCAAAATAATGTTGAAGCAGCTATAACATAAAAAATAATATGTTACTGCCAAAGCAAGTTTTGATAAGAATTATCACCATACTAATATTTGTTCAAAACCAAGCAAGTTTTAAATCTCTCACTAATATTTGATCAAAACCAAGCAAAGTTATGAAAAAAGAAAGAAAATAGAGTTGTCATTTTCTACTATGTAAAGAAACCAATACATAACAAATGTAGATCTAAGGTGGTATGAGAAAGAAATTATCTAGCTACTACTTTTAAACTTTGAACTTCTAGTCTCTAGATAGAGATGTGATCTATATTTTATCACTATAAGAGAAAATCAATACCTAAAAGAAGAATTGAAAAATAAACTAATAATTAATTAAACAATCATTGATAATTACATTCATAAACCTCCTCACTCTTATCAATTCTCATTAACGCGTTAAACGTTTCTATTTTGTATCTATTTTATGAAAAACCTCAAATCCAAATTTATAACTGAAGAGTATTTGATTTGTTTAGTTAATTAATTAAGAATGAGTTAATTAACAAAGTCACATATATAAGAGTTTGCCTCAAACACTTAATCTTATAATAAAAAATTAAATAAATAAACTAAATCACATATAGACACCCACGACACAACCTTATAATAAAAATAAAGTTATTAATATAATAATTGGTTTTATAAAAGTTTCCAAAAACGTATTTTGTTCCATTAGTATAATTAATGAATGGTATTTATTAATTAAGATGACAAAAATATCCTTTCTAAATTCACTCAGAAGGGTAGAAATTTTGAATTAAGCACATTCTCATGGAGAACCTCTTTATATTAGTGTTAGGATATTTACATATATAACCCTCGTTTATTAGATTAATAGCCTCTCTCAAAATGATGGGCGGTTGGCATCATCAGTTTGTTAGGAAAAAACCAATGTCGATACGAGGACACTACTTTAATTAAGACGTAAGCAGTCTAATCTTAAAAGTAAAGTTTGAGACATCCATCAAAAAATAGTTCCTTGATGTAATGGACATGAACTTAGATGTGCTTCGTTTGTTCATGTAGGACAAGGTTATTCGCTATCTGAATAGTGCTGGTATTAACATCATACTGCTGCATAGGAAGAGATATCGGCAAATCAATCTTGTCGAACCGGCAACGCAACCAGATAGGTTCTGAACTTACCTAGGACATCGACCTATACTCCCCTCAGTAGAAGATATTGACACTTTATCTTGCTTCCGACAACATTAGGATACAAAAGCTCCACCCACCTTGACACATCAAGGAGAAGTAGAGCGCCTTACATGAATACAACTCGTAAAGTCAACATTGGCATAAGGTTCCAAAACCGACTAACCATGCAAAGGAAGAAGAAGACTGATGACATGGGAAATATACTATTTTAGACCCCATATTGTGATATGCTATGTGAATGGTTAAAGTGAGACTGGGACTATTTTTGTTATCTAGTAACAGTTTTGTTATAAAAAACTTCACCCTTACATTTTGAGACTCGCGTGAATGATTAAAGATTGATGTTTGGATTGTATGATATGGTATTCTTGTATATTGATGTGGTTAGGAGTCTCTCGTGCTATTTTTGACCTTGTAAAGTTACTTATGATCCACTACCTAAGACCAAGGTTGAGTGATGACGGCTAGTTTTCATTGGGTTGTATGATTAAGAGTGGTGTTTGCTTGGGGACCAGCAAAGTTCTAAGTGTAGAGTATTTCTGATAGCACTTTAATTATAGTGTTTATAACTTTCATTCTTAATACATTTCCCCTTCTATCAAAACATCTTTCGTCATTTCAATGATATTTATTATCTAAATCACAACTATTTTTTCAATGAGCTTTAAGATACCTAGGTTGTATTCTTGTATGCTTTGATGCCTTCTAGGTATGTCTTTGATGGTTTTGAAGGTACAATGCAACTTAAGGATGATTAGATCAAGCAATGAAAGACTCTGGAAGACCAAAGGAGCTATGAAGAGAATATTAAAGAGATTACACGAAGAAAAAGTAGTCCAATGACGGGTAAGTCAACTAGAAGGAAACTTTCTCTGCAAACTACTTCATCAAGGAGGGGATGAAGACCGACTTCAAGTCGGATTAGGAAAGTTTAGGCCAAGTTTTGGGGGGAAATACGCTTTGTACCCCCTCTCTCTTGTACTATAAATATGTGCTTAGACTTCATATGTAAAGCACCTTTTTATAAATCAGACTTATTGAAGCTCTGTCAGAGTGAGGAGAGAATTACTCATTTTTTGTTTGCTCCTTCTCATTCTCGCATGGCTAGCTATGTTCTTTTTTGTTTGGGGTATTGATTCCATGATGTGATTTACTATTTTCTATTAGCTGATAAGATGCCCTAAAGCATCGATGGTCTTTCTTGGAGCACCGATGGTTTAGTTTCGTGTATGCTTGTTATCATGTTATGGTGCATTACTATGTATATTGATTGTACTACTACTATGAGAAACTAGGAAACTAATCACAATTATTAGACATCATTGTTAGGCTTGTAATAGAGGGGAAGGTACAAACTTGTAGTACCCGAATGATGATGATGCTTGATGCTTAAAGATCCTCAATATTATAGACCATCGTCGTGGTTTGTAGAAGCCCAAAATTGGCGATGTGCTATCATTACTTCCTTGATCTTCATTAATTAGTTGGTGGCATGAAGCAAAAGCACGCATTATGACTCGCTCTGACTATCACAATAAAATCCCACCTAAGGCCCAAGTATAAACCTTAGATGGGTGCAGACGTGCAGTATAGGTCAAGTATGTTTAAATATCAACCCCGGGCGGCCCATGTACCGCTACTTCGATTGTTAGAAAAATTATCTAGCGGATGGTTTTGGTGAAAACAAAGATCTAAAGCTAAAAGTACATGTTTTGGTGAAAACAAAGATCTAAAGCTAAAGTACTTTGCAAAGAGAAATGGGTTTGACACTAATTGAGAAGGCTTCACCCGGGACTTGCTCCCCCTAGCTAGAAATTACAACTTGATGGATCGAATGATCGTGTGTGGTGAGGGGTTGTAAACTGCAGGGAAGTCTAACAAGTAGCCAAAGCTACCCTCTTAGTCTCTAGGTCGAGGAAAGGGGATATGATCCAAGCCACTAATGCGACTCTCTCAACCTATTGACTAAGGATTGGTTAGAGTTCACCCTCGAATCGGAGTTTGGACGGCCACCCACAACCAAACCCTAGGTGCTAATACAAAATAGGAGGTTTGCTCTGCATTAACCTAACTAGGAGACAATGAATTGCCCAAGAAAACCCAGTATTCAAGCCTCTTTCAAAGAAATAAAGGAAGGGGGGTTTTCTCTCTACCTAGGTTAGAATGGAAATTAGATTGATAGACTTTCACACAACACAATCATTCATGAATAATACCTCCACATTCACATAATTGTAGCTAGGGTTTACAACCACACACAGATCATTCAATTCATACAAGCATTCACATAATTGTAGCTAGGGTTTACAAACACCCAAGTGAAAGAAGGGACTACTCCATGCTAGAAGAAGGGAAAACACAAGAGAGAAGAAGGAAAACCATGAAAGATATGCTAGCCTTGCTCCTTTGTTGAAGAGATCCTCATTTGGAGAGGAATTCCCAATTCCTTGCTTGAAGATGAAACTCTAGCTTCTCCTCTTTTTTGGTTCGTCACTTTCTCACTCTAGAAATCTGAAGAAGAAGTTTCTCACACTAGGTCTCCCCCTTTTCTTCTTCCTTTCAGCTGGCACTTTTATACTGAGATCGCGCCCAGTTCACGGACGTGAACATCAAGATGCGTCCGTGAACATAGTGAGCTTGATCAAAATGCACTGCTTCACTTTTGCGGTTCACAGTTTGTGGTTCTTGTTCACGGTCTTAGCGACCGTGAATAGCCTTGGCGTCAGTAACCTCAAAACCCCCTCTGGATGCTTCGCGATTCACGGGTTGTGGTTCCAGTTCACGGTCCTGGAGACCGTGAACTCCAATGCTGGACCGTGAACACAGGATGAATCCTCCTCTTTGCCCGGTCTTTGCTCCTTTTCTTCCAACTTTTGACTCCGGGTTGGTGTCATCTATTAGACTCTGAAACATTCTGAAACACAAGAAACCTAGCGTAAAACCACCCATTTTGGAGCTCAATTGCCACAAATGTCAAAGAGAAACGGGGATAAAAAGTGTAGAATTAGGCCCGAATCACATTAGCTACCTAAATTCTTATCGGAAGAGGCGCATGTACAGCTAGGGAATGACCTTTAAATAAGGAATAGAATATCAACATGGCATCAATGCATATAAGTATCTTGTTAAAGAAAAAGTATGCATGCTCATCTAGATTATACAACTTAAACAACTTGTTTCTCTCTTGTTTACTCTCTTATTTACTTTGCTTTCATTTACTTTCATAGACTAGTCAAATATTAGAGAACCTCAACCCATTGATTTTACTTTTTGTCATTCGATCACTTAAGCATCTAGTTTTGAGTAACTATCATAAAAAGACCCTCTGGAATACGGTTAGTGATGACAATGGGGCGGTCGGGGCGGGTACCTCAATACTCATGCTCCGCCCCACGCTACTGAGGGTCGAGCGGGTAATACCCGTGCGGGTAAAGAGTGGGGTGGGGTGGGTCGACCCACTCTTACACGCTCTATGAAAAAATACACGCATAATTTACTTTTTACGATAAAATGAAGGAGAAAACACTTTATGAATGAAAAATAATGATAATAGAACGAGTAATTAAGTCTAATTGAAAGGTCGAGTTTAACTAGTTGAAGAAAATTCGAAATATGAGAAATATGAATAGATACTATAAGAAATTGAGGTAAAATGGACAAAAACGTGATGGGGTGTGGCAAGACGGGTCGGAAATAAGTACTCTTGTTGGCCCCACGCTACTGCGAATCGGGTAATACCCACCTCATTACGGATCAGGTCTGTTAATAAATACCATCATAAACCCATCTAGATTTGATTACCTGTGCGTTTTCTGCAACAAGGAGCCGTATCCAAACTGCCCCCAATAAGTATTGCTCTCCATCCACCATATCTCAAAACTCATATGGCCTGGTTTTGAATGAATTGGAGAATTGAGTTGTTGGTTGCATTTCCCTCGCTGCCCACAGTTGCCACTCCTTTTCTCTTATATGATATCCTCTCTCCGTTCTTTTCCTTTTTGTTCACATGGGAAGTGGAGGGAAGTAGGAAAGAGCTGTCACATGCCAATGGTTATTTTCCCTCTTTCTAACTGTGTAATAATAAAATAAATTTAAAAAAGGGAAATGAGGTGTTGCAGATAATAACCATGATGATGCTGCTGCTAGTTGAAACGTAATTAAGGCTTGATCATCAAGCAAAATTAGGTAAAACATTTGATTAGTTAGATGGCCAAGCAGAGAAAGGAATTTGCTAAAACACTAATCTATTTGTGGTTAGCGCGGCAGTTTCAAATCAAAGGCCAATAGTAATCACAGCAAATTAATCTCTCATCCCAAAAAAAAAAAACGAAAGCAACTCTGCAACCTAACCAACGGCAGCCGGAGCCATTAACTAACCCACCGGCCAAGGCAACCATGAACATAATTTATTATTAATATCTCATATTCTATATTTCTCTTTTAGAATATTCAGAGTAAGGAGAGAGAAGAAAAAGAGAGAGAAAGTGGAGTGTGAGCGAGAAAGAGAGGGAAAAAAACAGAGTCTTCTTGACCCGAAAGGTTAAAAGAAGAAAAATTAGAACAGAAGAGAAGAGAAGAGGGTCCTTAAATTATCTCTTCTTCTTCTCGCCTTCCAACTCCCAGGGAAGGGATTCGGCTGGTCCTCCTTTTTTCTTCCTCCAATTCTCCCTTCCTATTTAGTTTCCTCCTCCCCCCCTGTTTTTCCGGCTCTGTTTTCGTCGCTTCAAATCTATTTGGGTGTTCCTTCCTTCCTTCCTTCCTTCCGCCAAGACCATACAACCCCTGCCTGCTTTTGCTCCAGGTGATTCATGCATTTTGATTTCCAATTTTGAGATGCATTGTTTTACCGCCTTCGTTCCTTGGCGCCAATTTCCAGTCCTCGGATTCCTTTTGTTCTGTTGGGTTGCTTTGAATCCCAGTTTTGATCGTGTTTCCTACAACGAATCTGCATGTCCCATTATTGCTCCGATCTGGGTTCCAATGCAAGTTCCACCCGCCCGGCCATTGATGCTTCAATTGTTTTTTTTTTTCTTCTGAATTTCGTTTTGTCCTCCTTGAGCTTGGTTAAGTTCCTAAGTTTGACCCCAAAAAAGATTTCCTGTGTTTTGCTTCCTCCCGGCAGGGTTGCATTTGAATTCAACGCCATCGAAACTGGCAAACAGCGGAAGTAGAGGGCGGATAACCCCCCAGCTAAAGGCCTTTTCCCAGATTTTGGGGAGAGGTGGCCGCTGCCGGCGGAGGAGGACTGACTGACTGACTGACTCCATCGCATCGCACGCACATGGAATTTGGCACAACCCTTCACCCACAATTCACAGACATTCCACCTTACAGCCTCTGAAATTCTCAGTCCTCACAGGTCTCTTCTCTCTCCCTCCCTGTTTCATTATTTTAAGAATTCCAGCCATTTTCTTCTTGGGTTTTAGTTTTTCACTTCCGCCATTTATTAATTGAATCGCTGGGTTTGACCCTTTTGGAAATGCGGGGGGTAACATGATTGTGAGGAAGAGTTGCTTGACAGTCTGTAACAATGGCGGGGACCATATCTTGTGTCAGTCTCTCTTCCGCCATTTATTAATTGAATCGCTGGGTTTGACCCTCCCCATTCCAAGCATTTTCCCCTATGCTTAAAAACTGCAACCACCAATTATTTAACATGGTCTTGAAATGATACAGACAAAAGAAAGCCGACCAAAAAAGTGTCGGTGAATTTCACCCCATAATTCCTTTCCATCATTCACGTCATTAATCACACAATTAACATATGGTAAATGGTTGGTTGTGTGGTCGTTAATGGTTCGGTTGTCATTATGCTCTTTCTTTCTCACTAGTCAACCAAAAAAGCAATAGGGGACAAGAGAGGGACTGACTAGCTGTGATTATCGCAGAAGGAAGGGTGAGACACAGATCGCGGAAGATGGGTGCAGCTGAAGATGAAGAGTCGATGCATTCAGCAAAAGATGGAGAAGAGAAGATTTTGGTCTCGGTTCGAGTCAGGCCCATCAATGACAAGGAAGCTTCAAGGCATGATGTGTCCGACTGGGAATGCATCAACGACACCACTGTCATTTACAGAAACAATCTCTCCCTCTCCGAGCGCTCAATGTACCCTTCTGCTTATACCTTTGGTAAGCCCCCCCGGCCCCACTCTCTCTTGCTTCCGAGAGCTACAAAACTTGAATCCTAAATCTTGGGTCGTGCTCTTTGTGATATTGGCTGCTGCAGACAAAGTGTTTGGTCCCGATTGTCCAACAACTCAGGTCTATAGAGATGGAGCCAAAGCAGTTGCTCTCTCTGTCGTCGGCGGTATAAATTGTGAGTTATGACTCCTTGAGCTTGAGTTGTAGTAATGTGTTTCACATTTGTTTCTTCTTTCATTTAATCTGTGTTTTTTCTTCTTCTTCTTTTCAAGCGAGTGTGTTTGCTTATGGACAAACGAGCAGTGGAAAGACATACACAATGCGGGGAATCACCCATTCTACTGTGGCTGATATATATGACTATGTAGCCAGGGTAAATTGTTGTCATCATCATCCTACATATGCCATGTTTGTTAAACTTTCTTTTGTGCATGTCTCCCTCATTCATATTAGTCTGCTTAGTGAAAGACAACTTGGTTTGTTTTCCTCCACCAGCACAAGGAAAGAGAGTTTATCATGAAGTTCTCTGCCATGGAGATTTACAATGAATCTGTTAGGGACCTGCTTAGTGCGGATACAACTCCGCTTCGACTTCTAGACGATCCAGAGGTGATTATTCAAATTTGTCATATAATGCAGTAAACAGCTTGTTAATTTAATTGTCAGAAGAGCTCAATGGCGACAATTTTTTCTATTTTTATATGTAAACAGAGGGGGACTGTTGTCGAGAAGTTGATTGAGGAGACCTTAGGGGACTGGAATCATTTTCAAGAACTCATGTCCATCTGTGAAGGTAGGCAGGCTGGAGGGTCTCTTTAGTACACGTTTTGGCGCGCCATGAAATGAAGCGTAAGCGCTTGAACCATATGCATGTTTTTAAACATGTCTTTTGATATATGCTTTTGCAGCTCAGAGACAAATAGGGGAGACTTCCCTCAACGAGACCAGCTCTAGATCTCATCAGATTTTGAGGCTGGTAGGAGGATCATCTAGTCGTTTCTCTTCCAAATTCTAAGCTGTAACTAGTTCATAGATTATATGCTGAAATGAAATGCGCTTACTGGTTTGGTGTACTTTCCAGACAATTGACAGTTCCGCGGTCGAGTTTTTAGGCAAAGACAAGTCAAGCGCCCTTTCAGCCACTGTGGTATGGATCCGTGTGGTTTAAGGAATCACTGTTTCATTGAAAAGTCGCAATGCATGCTTGTAACACAAACACTCTCTTCTGTTGCACAGAATTTTGTTGATCTAGCAGGAAGTGAGCGTGCATCTCAGGCATTATCCGCAGGCATGAGGTTGAAGGAAGGTTGCCACATAAACCGCAGTTTGCTCACATTGGGGACTGTCATCCGTAAATTAAGGTTGTTACTATAGAAGTGGCTTTTCTAATCTTGAACTGCAAATGGGATTCTGATTCTCTTAACCAAAGGGAAACCTGGCAAAATGCGATTCTCAAATACATTTGTTGCTTTTTTTTTTTATGTTTGAGAGCAGCAAAGGAAGGAATGGGCATATCCCTTTCAGAGATTCAAAGCTGACGCGCATATTACAGTCCTCCCTGGGTGGCAATGCCAGGACCGCCATCATCTGCACCATGAGCCCTGCTCGAAGCCATGTTGAGCAGTCTAGAAACACTCTCCTCTTCGCAAGCTGTGCTAAAGAGGTGTCTACTAATGCTCGGGTCAACGTTGTCGTGTCTGATAAAGCATTGGTCAAGCAACTGCAGAAAGAGTTGGCAAGGCTGGAGAATGAATTGAGAAGTACAGGAGCAAAATCCGTCTCGTCAAATGTCACCGAGTTACTGAGAGAAAAAGACATGCAGATTGAGAGGGTTAGTTGGTCTCAGTTCTTTATATCAAGATCCATACATTGTAAGCGCTAGAGCATTGATAGTTCTCCCTTTCCCCTCTTTTCTTGCAGCTGACGAAAGAAGTAGCAGACCTAAATAGACAGCTAAACGTGGTTCAGACACGTGTCGATGATGCTCGATCTGAAAGAGTCAGAGTCTCATTTCCATGGGTTTGTTGTTCATCTACTGCCTCTTTATTTATTTTCTTTTCAGTCTGCACGATGCTGAATGTTGGTTGTCCTTCATCTGAACAGGAGGAGGCAGGTCAGCAATACCCCAAATTAAGAGTGCAGAATTCCTGGAAATCCGAGACCTCGATATCATATTCACCTATCTCCGAGGATCCTCGCATGACGGAGACTCTTCGATCTTTCGAACCATCTCAGACCTCGGAGGACCAGTGCAGTATCATTTCCGACGAGTCCTTCATCCAACTTGCGGAATTTCAGGAGTTCCTTCAGTCGTACGCCTCACCAGAAGTATCATTTGCCAGTACAGACAAATATATCAGAGATGAAGGCTGCGACAAGGAAATTGAGAAGCAGAATCATGAGAGTATAGACACTGCATCATGCAAAGAAGTGAAATGCATCGAGGTCGACAACTCAGCGGGTGGCAGCAGTGTTTCCTCCTCGCATGTGAATGAGTCAGCATCTAGCCCCAACAACAATGGACATTCAGACCCTGCTGTCTCATCTTCTCTTCTTCCAGAGATGGGTATTTCGGAATGCACAGAATTTGACTCCAATGAAGCTGATAAAACGAAAGAAATTGCATTATCACCATTGAAGGAGGAAGAAGAAGAAGAAGAAGAAGAAACTTTGCCAGAGAAGGAATTAGTTTCATCTCCAGTGAAGGAGGAGAAAGTGGATTACGCGGAGAAAGAATCCGCTGAGGAGATGAAAGAACTGGTTTCATCTCCATTGAAGGAGGAGAAAGAAGCTGAAGAGAAGAAAGAACCAGTAATAGTAGTGCCCTCTCCAGTGATCAGTGAGACAGAAGCTGAGGATAAGGAAGAACTAATTGAGGACAGAGAAACAGAGGAGAGGAAAGAGTCTGTGTCTTCTCCCCTGCAGGAGAAGGAAAACAAAGAAGTAGCTCCAGTTCTGGCCAAGGAGGAGCAGGGGATGGTGAGTGAATCGCCATCCGACATCAACCGAGCAGGTAGCGAGACACCATCGCCAAGGGATTTTATAATACCATCACCGGAGAAATCTCCCTGGCTGATGGAAGAAGACCTGTACACCCCACGAAGCTTGAGGTTGATTAGGAGCAAAAGCTGCAGAGCAGCACTAACGACCAAATCAACCCCGCATTGGTTCGAGAGGACAGAAAAGAATGAAAGCAGCCCACCTCCGTATATGTTTGATAAGTGTTTCACTCAGAGACGAGCAAGTGTTGCCGGTCCCATTTTCCCGTTGAGGTACGATCTTCAAAATGATGTACTATCGACGAGTGGCTCTCAGGAGACTACTGCAATTCCTGATGACCATCTGGGACACAACGGCAAAACTCCTAGTGATTCGAGTAGCAGCAGCAGAGTCAGGAATGCCGCAGCTGAATCGATAGAAACGCCTGATGCTTCGGTGAGTTTGCTTTTAGAGAATGCCATCCCTATATAGAACCAGTCTTCCATTGATGACCCACTTGCTCATTCTGTGCTTGGACTCGTTTCATTACAGGTCGAACATACGAAGCCAAATCCTGAAAAGAGAGATGTGGGGTTGGATCCGATACAAGATGATGGAGCAAGTTCTCCATCATGGCCAGCAGAATTCAAGAGGCTCCAACGAGAGATCATTCAACTTTGGCATTCTTGCAACATTTCGCTGGTGCACCGGACCTACTTCTTCCTGCTATTCAAAGGTGACCCTGCAGATTCTTTCTACATGGAGGTGGAGCTCAGAAGACTGTCCTTTCTGAAGGACACATATTCCCAGGCAAACCCATCAATGGTCCATCCAGAAGCCATGACACACAGTTCCAGGTAACAAACTACTTATCATTGCATTTCCCATACTTCCAACTTTCAAACATCCATAGTGTTTACAGTGTGAGAGATCTATGTTCAACATTGTTCTTGCTTTCTGAATCAGCAAAAGAGCTCTGGAGGAAGAGAAACATATGCTCTGCAAGCAAATGCAGAGGAACCTGTCCAAGGAAGAAAGGGAGAACCTGTTTTTGAGATGGGGCATTAAGTTGAGCTCACAGAACAGAAGACTGCATCTGGTAAACCGACTGTGGACGAAGCCGGGAGACATGGATCACTTAATGGAGAGTGCCAATGTGGTGGCCAAGCTGGTTGGTTTCGATGAAGGGAAAGAGCTTGCTATGAAGGGCATGTTTGGACTCCTCAATTTCACTCCCAAATACAGCAGGCGGAAAACTTCTCTGTGGAAACGCAGCGTGCTTTCCATCTTGTGAGAGGGTTTGGGGGGTATTCGGCTAATCTAAAGAACACGCGAACGTTGATTATTCTTTTTGGATCTGTGCTATATTTCTTTTGCGACAGGAGTTGCTGATGATTGTGTAATAGCAGAGTAGGATTTGACCAAGAGAAAGTGTGCTTGTAAATCTGATAGGGGAAGGCTGTAAGGATGCGAGATGATTGAAGGCTGTAAAGTTGGCTTTGTAATGCTTAATAAGATATGTTTAATGAGACTGGATGTTTTCCAATCGCTTTTCTATAATTAGACGTTGAAGTGAAGAGAACTTTTGCCGTTGTTTGCATGAAGGAACTAAAGAGTGAAATTCAATTACCAATCACGAAATTTGCAATATATGAGCTCTTTAGGGTAATACCCAAATTTGAAAAGTTTGAAAAGTTTACGATTTTCAGATATCTTTGATGGCTGCAGTTTGTTCTGCCGTTACAAATCAGTCTCTAAACGCTTAGAATTAAGCATAGAGCAGCTTTGGATCAACTCTTTTACCAACGAGACTTCTGCATTAAAATCACATGTCCAAAACCTAGTACCTAACTGTGACAGCAAGCAAAGAAAGCTGTCATTTTCTCTAGTTGGAATTGGCACAGACTCATCAATCACATAGACCAAAGATCCAGGGAAGGGTCAACCAGACATTGCTAAAATTTCAAGCTTGCTCGGTAGCGAAGGTAAAAGTGCGGCAGAAAAACCGATTTGACAAGATGAAGATGAACACTTATTTGAACAACAGAATACAATGAGAAGGTGACACCAGTGTTTATTTCCAGGGGGGGGTAATTCTACTTCCAGTCATAAAAACCAGCAAATGCAACATAATAAGCCATGGGTTTGGAGAAGTCGAGTGTTAAAAGAGGAATAGATTTACAACTATCGCACAGCCTCGGTGGGCGTAATATCATCCAGCTCACAGCTACCAAGTATTTCGGAAGAAAACCACCAATCCAGAACTTACTCTGCTCTGGATTGACCTGCCCTGGAAGACAGGATGATGCCAACAATGAGACCATACAAAGCCAACGCTTCGGCAAAGATGAGAATCAGAATCATTCCAACAAAGAGCTTTGGCTGCTGAGCATTTGCTCTGCAAAAGATCACCGTCCATAAATCAGCCAACCCAATCAAAAAAGACAGCAACTGCAAGCGACAGGTTTTGATATATTGACAGGAAGAATCTACACAGTTACCCTCATCATTTTCAGACTATTAAAGGCAGGATCTAATTTGAAATACTCCCTTAATCTGAGTCTGACTTGCACCAACTATGTCTATCAAAGTTTTACTTTTGGGTCGTTCCCAACAATGTTATATGTGTTCTTCCATGAAATGTGCAATCATGGAACCCAACCATGGATTGGTGGCAACATTCCTTCCACTTAAGAAGCTTAGAGAAACAAAAAGACTCTTCTACTTTCAGTCTGTTCCATGGAATTGAATCCACTTGACATGGCCAAAATTCCTTTCACTTACAATAACCTCACATGAAATCTATATATCAGATTGCTGATATGAAACCAGAATCGCTAAGAACATACCTGACGCCGGCATCCCCAACGATGCCGATGGCCATGCCAGCAGAGAGTCCGGCCAGCCCACAGGCCAATCCAGACGAAAGATGTGCGTAGCCGTCGAAGAGGTAGTACGATTTGGCCTTAGGGTTGATCCCGGTGCTGATGATAACAGCAATAATCAGACCATAGATACCGAGCACTCCAGCCATAACAACTGGAACAATCGACTTCATAACAAGCTCCGGCCTCATCACCCCCATCGACGCTACTCCCACGCCGCTCTTCGCCGTCCCGTAGGCTGCTCCCATACCTGAACCATCAGTAGCAAATTGAATTGAGGGTTCCAATTTTGAGTTTAGAAGAAAGAAAGATCGACATCTTTCAATCTGATCGCGGATCTGGAATCTGAAGAGAGTACGGGATTTGTTTGGCTTACATGAAAAGACGAGGGCCGAAGCGGCCCCGAGGAAACCGAAGAAAGGTGCGGTCTCATCGCCGCTGAAGGTAGACGACATTATCTCCGGTAGGGATTTCTGGGGAGGGGAATTCGATCACGAATCGGGTTTGCCTCTCCTGGAAGTTGATGATGCAGGGATGAACAAACGGTGGGAAAACTTCCAGCCAGGTGCTTCGGTGCTATGCTATCTCAGGGTCTATGTCGATTGTCGGCAATATATCAAAGCCCAATAATCGTTCCATCCTCACCCCACGAGCCCGACTTTGGTGACCCACTAGGCAAATAAGGAAGTACTCAATGGGCCTGTCTTCAATATTAGAACTAGGCAAATAAGGAACTACTCAATGGGCCTGTCTTCAATATTAGAGCGATTCCACTCCCAATCATGGTTATCAACTAGAGATGTAAGGTCTCTCAACTCTAACCTAATTCAATGCATGTACCATTAGAAATTTGATAAAATATAGGGAAGGCAATCCTGGCCGCCTCGCTGGTACCCGCCCGAAACCCGTCCAAATGGGGTCTCAATAACCGGCCGCAGTGGGTAATTGTCGGATTCGGGCATACCCGAAACCCGTCAGAAGCGGGCTACGGATGGGGATGGATTGAGAAGTATCCGCCCCGTCCCCGTCCGTCCATAAAACGACGTCGTTTTGGCACCTGGGTATAAAGGCAGAAGAAGGACCCAAAAACCCTAATCCCTCATTTCCTCTTCTTTCTTTCTGTCGACTACAGCCGTTTCCTTTCAGCTTCCTCTCTACTTTCTCTCCACCCAAGCACGCGAGCATTGATTTAGCTAAAAAAATTCGCCGATTCCCCACGAAATCCTTTCCATCCACTGGTTTATCGCTAGTAGGCAATCATTAATCCTCCAATTTGGCCAATCGGAGGCTTGTTTTGCCGCCGATTTGGCCGGGAAACAACATGCAAAACCCTAAAATGGCTGTAGCAATCTTCGATTCACAGTTATTGGGAGAAATAGGCGTGATATTATCACAGATGACTGATAAGCTCCTTCTCCCTTTTCCTTTCGTTTTCCTATATATTCCATCTTCTTCTGCTTTCATATATATAGTAACCCTGTCGATTGATTTCAGGGTCACCCGCAACCTCTGTTCTAAGTTCTTCCGTTCATCATTACCTTCACTCTGCTCAGAGCACAGTCGAGATAATCACTTGTTAAAACTTCAATTTTCCTAGTTTAGTAACTCGGTCTTTATCATTCGATGAATGCTAACACAAAGTTGTTTTTATTTTTGCCTTGTTCGAGTTCATCAGGTTCACATCACGCATCAACTCCCCATCTGCAATCTGGTCAACAAATCCTACCTCGCCAGATTACAGGTTAGGCATAGCCTGACTCTAAACCCGCCCTGTTTTCTAATTTGTATGTGTAGCTTGCATGTGTCGATTGCTTGCTTGTGTGCTCTGTCTGAGTCTTGAAGATTGATTGATTGTATTTTTGTTTATGTAGATGGATGGCGCAATTGCAAATGATGCTTTGAATGTGAATGATCCTCCTGTGCCTAGTTCTATAAATCCTTATGTTAATGGTAATGTTAACGGCAATGGTAATGGTACTGTTAATGGTAATGGTAATGATGTTTTGGTTGATGGGATTGAAACTGGTGAAGTCATTCTTGACGAAGATAAGAAGTTGACTTCTAATGTATGGTCTCATTTTTTTAGAGTGAAGTTTAATGGTGTTGTTAAAGCTAAGTGTCGTTACTGTAAAAAAACGACTTAGTGGTGATACTAGTAATGGAACCTCCCATCTGAGGCACCATTATAAAACTTGTACCCAAAGAAAGATACATGATGGTAGACAGAGGGTTCTGGGTCCTGATTATAAACCAACTGGAAAACCACTGCTATCTGCTTCTCAGTTCAGTTCTGATGTGTCTAGGAAGGAATGTGCTCAATGATTATGGTCCATGAATATCCTCTAAGTATTGTTGAACACTTGGGGATCAGACGCTTTTGGTGTTCTTTGCAACCACAGTTCACTGTGTCTTGTAGGGGTACAGTGAAGAATGACATAATGGGGTTGAAATGGGAAAGTTTAAGAAGGTTCTTGATGGTAATATTGTGAGAGTTGCAGTGACCATTGATATGTGGACTGCACCCAACCAGAAGAGGGGTTATATGGCAGTAACTTGTCATTTTATTGATAATTCTTGGAAGCTAAGAAACTTGATGTTACGTTTTGTTTATGTCCCTGCTCCTCACACTAGTGAGAGGCTAGGAAAAAGGTTGTTCAAGTGTCTTATTGATTGGAATATTGATAGCAAGTTGTCATCTATTACCTTGGATAACTGTACCACCAACGATGCTATGATAACCCATCTAAAAACCAAACTTGTTATGGATGATTTGTTGTTGGATGGTATGCTGGTTCACATGAGATGTTCTGCTCATGTACTTAATCTTATTGCGCAAGACGGTTTGGATGTTATCAGGGATGGCATTGATTTGGTTAGGGAGAGTGTTGTGTACTGGAACTCTACACCTAAGAGGGTTCAGACCTTCTTTGAAACTGCTAAACAGATTAAAGTGACTTGTACAAAGAAACTTGTGCTCTATTGTCCTACAAGGTGGAATTCCACCTATGATATGCTGTCTGTTGCTATTATATACAGAGATGTGTTCTCTCGATTGAGACAGAGGGATAGTCAATAAAATACTGTCCCTACTAGTATGCATTGGCAGTTTGCTGCCATTATCATTGACAAGCTTGAAATTTTCAGTGAGATTACTCAGCTATTTTCTGGTAGCAATTATCCCACTGCCCATATGTTTTTCCCCAAGATCTGTGATTTAAGATTGAAATTGCTGGAATGGTGTGCTTATTTCAATACTGTTGTCTCTAGTATGGCTTAAAGCATGTGGAAGAAATTTGCCAAGTACTTCTGGCAGTTTCAGTAGTTCTTGATCCTAGTTACAAGATGCATGTAGTTGAGTATTATGCTGGCAAGTTTGGCAGCACTAATACTGCATTGGTGGCTGATAAGATAAGGGAATGTATTTGTGGTTTGGTTCTTGACTACCAAACCAAGGCTGAGAAGAAGAATTATGGTTCTTCATGTGCTTCTGGTGGTTCTTCTAGTTATGTAAGTGATGATCTTGATTTCGAGCTCTTTGTGAGTCGGAGGAAAAAGAGCAAAACGACTCTGATTCATACTGAGCTCGATCACTATCTTCTTGAGGATCTTATTCCCAAACGATCTAAGGACTTTGATATATTGATGTGGTGGAAACTTAATGGCCTTAAGTACCCCACTTTGCAAGCAATTGCAAGGATTTTCCTGGCCATTCCAGTCACATCAGTGGCTTCTGAATCTGCTTTCAGCTCTGGTGGGAGGTTATTAGACCCTCATCGGAGTAGGCTTCACTACAATACAGTAGAGGCAATGATGTGTACTCGTAATTGGATCATTGATTCAATGCAACAAGGTAATCTGCAACAACTGAACTTTCTGGTTTATTAGAGTGTTCATTATTCTAACTATTTTCCTTTGTTTCATTTTTTGCAGAGTCAAAGGTTGATGTTGAGGCAATGGAAGGTTTGTTTTCAGCTCTAGCACTTGCAGATACAAGTGCTGAAGATCAAGCAGAGGGTAAGTTAGTTGGTTCTTCAATTTGTTTCCTTATTAATCTTAGTTCAATTCTCTTAACACCTTTGTTTCCTTACTTGCAGCACAAGAGGAACTTGGCAATATGAACCGTCCACTATCCCTAGATGATTGATAGTTTGATAAAAACCAGTGCAAAGGTAAAATACTAGTGATCATTAGCACAATACTTACGATTGATGAGTTTTACTAATAGTTTCAATTCTCTAACACTCTTGTTTTCTTTCTTACTGAACAAATGGAACTTGTGACAAAGGAGGAATGCTGTTCAAATCAGTTGAGGTCGAGGAAAGTAGGTCTCCAGCATGGACAAGCTACATCATTGCTGCTCGTTTCATTTCATAATTTATGAACGATTAGGCTGAATGCCTTTGTTTTTCATTTTATGTTCTTTTTAAGTTTGAAAACTAGTACTAGCATGATGAACATGATTGATGGGTTTCGGGTGATGGGACTAAGGTTGCAGCAGTTTGTTTGTTTGCTGCAGCCTGTTACTTGAATTTTGAATTTTAGGATCTGGGTGCTAGGTGGTGGGATATGGGTTACAGCCCCAGATCTTTCTTTGTTTTGTTTTCTAATTCGGTGGCTTGACCATCAAGTTATTATTTTAATGCAAAGGTATTATTCAGAAAGTGTTTGTTTTTTTGTTTATTCACTGATCCGTGGGGATCCGTCGGTTACCCGAATCCGTTGGCGGATGGGGACGGTAGCCAATCTCCCCCCGTTTAGTCGTCGGGGACGGGGATGGGGAAATCCGTCGAGGTTGACGGGCGGGGATCGGAAGGCATGTACCCGCCCCTGATCCGCCCCGTTGCCATCCCTAATAAAATAATGGTGAGGTTTAGAAGTAAGAACCCAACCAAACAAGATAAACACAGGTGTATGGGTATCCATGGGTTTATAAACATAACCATACATTATTTCTTCGAACATCTTCATTGTAATGTTATCGCAATTTTCACTATAAATATATCTCTATAAAGACCATTAACATCTATAAATTATCTATATTATCAGTTTATATTTCCATAAAGACTAATAACATCCATACGTTATCCAATTGTTTCGGTTTGATACAAAATGACGTCGTTTTGTTTAATGTGTATGGGGTCGGGTGGAAAGCGGGTTGAGTTTTAAAAAAACTCAGCCTAGACAAACCAACCAATTTCAAAATCGGGTACAACTCACATCCAACACAAAACTCAACAACATTGGGTTTTACACACTTTGATTGGGTTGGGTTGGATTAGCCGATTGGGTACACATAAATCCAGTCCTGGTCATACTTGATAAACCGTGTCATATCCAATCAATTCAGTCAGTCTTACCAGGTTGAGAGCGGCCAAGCCAGGCAAAACAGAGCCCTTGTAACACCTTAAGCACATCTCGCATCAATAAAGGATGAGAGAGATTCATGGTTCATAAGGAATATCCAACCTTAAATGACAAAACACGACCCCTGGTGAAACTGGAGGAGTTATTGTAAGAACTCTGAAGTTAAACGTGTTTTGTGTGGAGCGATGCAATGATGGATGACCTCTTGGAAAGCCACTATGATAAGCACCCAAAGCAAAATCATGCGGGGTAGACCCAAAGC